GCGGGGAGAGGGGCAGGAGGTCACCGGTTTCCAGAAAGCGGCTGAGCCCCGCAGCCTCAGGCCGCGCAGAGTCGAGTCCCTCCGTAGAGGGGGCAGAATCCGCGGCTGAACGTGGAAAAGGGAGTCAGGGAGGAAGGAGGGAGCAGGCAGGGGTCTGGGGATTGGGCAAGGGGCCGGCAAAGGTGCCCCGAGTGCCACCGCCGCCCGCCACCGATTGCACACAAATGGCCTTGCCCACGGCCACCCGTAGCGGGTCTGTCCGAGCCCCCGGGAGCCGGCCCCAGGTCACTGGGCCAGGCTCCCTTTCGGGCCCTGCAGGTCCTGGCCCGGGACCGCGGGGCGCATGCGCAGTGGAGCATCCGCATCTCTGAGCAGCACTAAGCGACTCAGCGAGACCCTGTCTCTAAACACAAAGTGCAAAGCAGGGCTGGGGATGGGGCTTGGTGGTCAGGTGCCACTGAGTTCAAAACCTGGTTCCAAAAAAAAAAAAAAATGCTGGGTTTTCCACCATGTGCCAATACTCAGAGCAGTGTGCACTGTCCAGGGGGAAGCTGGGCAGAATCCAGAGGAAAGGAGGATCCTGAAATGATAACAAATGATTTTTTAAAAATATGCTGCAGTTTTTGCTGTCTTAGGGCTTTTTGCCCCCTTTTCCAGTGTTTCAGGGTGCAACCTGAAAATCTTCTCCCACCCCCCAACTTCAAACTTTAAAACGTGAGGGTGTGTCTCTACTTCAGGGCACCGTCAGCGGACGCAGAACCCCCAGAATTCAGCTCCTATGGGATAGAAGTGTGTGTGGGGGGGCATTTAGGCCTTAGCTCCCTCATGTGTAAAATGACGGTGCCAAATGAGCAGAGGCAAGGGAATCCCTTGGTACTGAGGAATAGTATATGGTCGACAAAATTACACTTTACCATCTATAGCCGCTTTCCACCATGTAATGCACTGGCAGTTTCCCTCTGAGGATGCTGGGAAGGCAAGGGATTGTAACCCAAATGCCGTCATTCATGGATTCTGCATGAATTTACTACGGCTGTTATCACAAAGTCCTACAAATTAGGGGATCTGAACAACAGAAATGTGTTGTTAGTCTTATGAAAGCCCAGAGTCCTAACTGAAGGTGATTTCAGGGTTATTTCCTTCTAAGTGCTGTTGGCTAAAGAGTCTCTTCCAGGTCTCTCTCCTTGGCTTATGTGTGGTTGTTATTTCCTGTACCTTGTTGTATCCTATTCCCTCTGTGAGTCTCTGTGCCCAAATTTCCTCCTTTTCTAAGAACACCTGTCATATTGGGTTAAAGTCTACCCAAATGATCACATTGCAACACGATTATCTCTGTAAAGACTCTGCTGTCCAATAAGGTCACTTTTTCAGGTATTGGGGGTGAGGAACCCAACGTATCTTTCGGGGAGATACAGCTCAATCCACAGCAAACTCACTGCAGAAATATTGGTGGGATGCCGGGCGCGCTGGTGCATGCCTGTCCTCCCACAGCTTGGGAGGCTGAGGCAGGAGGATCGTGAGTTCAAAGCCAGCCTCAGCCAAAGGGAGGCCCTCAGCAACCCAGTGAGACCCTGTCTCTAAATAAAGTACAAAATAGGGCTGGGGATGGGGCTTGGTGGTCAGGTGCCCCTGAGTTCAATCCCTGGTACCAAAGTAAAATAAAAAATGCTGGGTTTATTACCAATACGCAATCGCTGGAGTCTGATTTCGTGTACTGCAGCTCGGGGCAGCGATCGTGGGAGGCGATTTCTGTGAAATGCAGTTGCCTCTTGTGAACTGCAGAGGAGAACATCACAGAAACGCGCGGCTGTCATCTTTATTGTCCCCCAGACGTGAACACGTGGTGCATGCCATTGTTTTTTAAGGAGTATATCTTTCTACGCATCTTTATACTCTCAGAAGCTAGCGCACTGTTGTTTTAAAGGCTCCTTTTCCTCTTTCTTCTGAAACATCCCTTGCATGCATAAGATGGAAGGCAGCTCTTGAAAGTGGAACCCACCGCAGGGCGCAGTGGTTTACGCCTGCAATCCCAGCGGCTCTGGAGGCTGAGGCAGGAGGATAACAAGTGGGAGGCCAGCCTCAGCAACTTGGCAAGGCCCTGAGCAACTCAATAAGAGCCTGTCTCTAAATATCATATAAAAAGGGCTGAGGATGTGACTCAGTGGTTAAGTACCCCCCACACACACACCATAAAAAAAAAAATTCAAATAATCCAGTATGATGATGAATGCTTCTCTCTCAAAAGCTCGATTGGGGTCATAGGTCTTGTGCACCATACTTTAGCTCCTTTATGACTCTCAGCCAAACATGGACGGCTCCCATGCAGAGGTAGGGATCGTTTCCTTCTGAGAATCACAGTTTATGTTGGCAAAAAAATTCTGATTTCCTCATGGGACAAGGGGCTTGCTTTTCCTAATCGCTTTAAGATGCAGCAGATAGGATCCAGGAAGCCACAGTACAATACTGTCAAAGCACGTGAAATGCCGGCAGAACAGGGCTCGGGTTGCAGCTCCGTGGGTAGAGAGCTTGCCTCCTCGCAGGCACAAGGCCCTGGGTTCAAATCCCCGGCTCCAAAAAAAAGTCCCCCGTGGAACAGAGATGCGCCATCTTTTGTCACACTCTCTATAAACTTACGGACGCCACTTGTTCCTTGGTGTACATTTTTGAACGTGCATCACATCCTTTGTAGAGTCTTAGTTTACTTCTGCGTCCTGGGTTCCAAGCCTGTGGGTGCCTGTTACCTGTTGTATTTGGACAGCTGCTAAGTGCTCCTTGCATGCCCTCCTGGCCTGAAGGTCACCTGGGAGGAGCCAGTGTCATGCAGGAGGAAGCTGCTCTCTGTCCAGGGTGCTGGACGGTTCCCCAGGGTGCTGGGTGGAGAAGCCGGGCGGGCGGTTCGGGGGAGGTTGGATGCCTTCGGTGCATTGGGCTCACCTTAGGGACGGGTTTATCGGGATGGGATCCAGCTGCAAGTCGGGAGAGGCCTGCATCTGCCTGGCGCCTTGGAGAGGGAGGGAGGTTGTGAGCTCCGGGGGCCCAGGAAGGATGCAGGCGGGAGACCTCGGACCAGCAAGCTGCCCTTTATCTGCAGAGAAGTGGATCCATCCTGCACGGGGAGGGCTCCTATTCTGGGTAGGAAGATGGCGCCCTGGGTAGGTGACAGAAGGAGTCGGGGCTTCACGGCTTCCCAGGAGGGTGCATCCGTCACTGGAGACTGCGGACATGCCGTTGGGACAGTCGGGTTGAGCCAGGTGACTTTTAGCTCAGGAAAGCAGTTGGGAAGACTTTGAAACGTGTTGTCACCCTGAAACACTCAGAACTGGGTGTTCACTGCTTATCTCTGGGACCCGCTGTCTCCTGCAAGTCTCCTGTTTGCTTTCCTCCCTCCAGGACGCTTCTGCAATGGGCAAGGGTCAAAGGCCGCGGGTCCACCCGGGTGGGTAGGTGGGACTGGGAGGGCTGGGGAGCACCTCTCTGCCTCCCCTTTAGGCCCCGGCTCCCCTATTCCCTCTCCCTGTGTGAGTGCCACGTGCAACTCGTGCCTTGCAACATTGCTTCCCATTCAACCTGGCGTGGAGTCCGCGTTTGCACCCAGAGTTACATAACGAGTATTCCAAAGGGAACGGAGTTTTCCAGATTATTCTGTTGCGGCATGCACGGATGTGTCGCAACGGGTTCCACTGTCGCGCACGATTATGATGCAATCGTGAATCTTTTTTTCTTCTTTTTTTTTTATAAAAAGAAATATTCTAAACGGCACGTGCCGAGAGTCCAGGATGATGCAAGAACCTTTCGTCGCTCCGGGGGAAAAAAATGGTCTCCTTATTTCAGAAATTGCGTACAAGTAGCCACAAGCCCTCAGGTGGCTAGGGGTCACCCCGTGTCATTCATGTCTCGTTCCGTCAACCGTCCTGCGAAGCAGGCAATGCCACATTTCTTCTGGCTGGTTTTCTGCTCGATCCCAGGGTCCCTGGTCTCTGTGTTGCCCACTGCAGGCTGACATCAGGGAAGGGCAGGGCTGTGGTTGGACGTCCTTGTCCCCAGCTTGCTCATGTCAGCCTGGGCAGCCTTGGATAAGGCTCCGTCCGTCGGCAACCCACAAGCCACATGCTCATTACACAACTCCCATTCCTGTGGCCAAA